TGTACATATAAAGCTCATCATGACCCTGGAAACGGTAGACTAGTGAATGGCAGATAAGGATCTCGCTAGCATACAAGTGCACCCGATCAATGAATCGCGCCGTATTCTCTGGTGGGGGATGTGCGATGGTGAAGTGGCAATGGGTGATGATGGGAGTCACCAAGCTACCAATCAGGATCACCTTCTTCGAGGAGTAAAGTGCATTGTTTTGCACCTGGATGAACTCCGGAACAAGCAACGCGGCAAAGTTGACGCGATGCGTCTATGATACCATTAAATTGGGTCTTCGTGCTCCGCGGAAAACCATAGAGGTTGCATAGCTGGCTAAGCGTGATGGTAAATGGCCGCTTGGCAAGGAAGAAGGAGATGTAATCAGCGGTGGCATCAGGGGGGGGGGTTTCGTCGGATAATGAAGTGCCACCGTAACTAGGAACTCAGCAGCGGCTTCAGGGAATAGAAGCCACCGCTTTGCAGAGAAGCTCTCGAAATCGGCATTGCGCAGGGATGCCTTGACATCATCGAGAATGCCAATGTCACGCAAAACATCGGTTTGCAGAAAACCGAGTAGGCTCGATCTTGCAGGCTCGGAGCACGACGGTGTCATCCTGATCCTTTCTCGTCCACTCTCGCTTTCCAGTAGCTGGTTTCATTCCGCCGTGTTGTCTAGGAGCCATTTCTTGGGTCGGGATCGATCGATCTCTGGTGTAGACCAGTCGATCCCGAGGCTTCTGTTCCTCGATTTAGATTCAGGTCAGACCGATCAGTCGCGTCAGCTGGATCTTCTCGGATCGCTTGTCTCTCTTCCTGACCTTCTCGGATCGCTTCTTAGAAGAATGAGTGTCTCCATCCAGGACTTCGTTGACATCATTCTCATCACCAAGGTCTCCTACCAGCATGACATCCACCGTCTTCAATTGTCTATGGTGAGACAAGAGCCATATCTTATAGCTTCACTGGTATAGGTTTCGTCATCGAAGACTTTCTCATTGATGTTAGAGAAGTCAATCGTCTTATTATGTAGATCAACAATGGCACCCACGGTTGCAAGGAAAGGTCTCCCAAAAATCAAAGGCATAACAGGACCTTTGGTCATCTCAACGACATAAAAATCGGTGGGAACCAAGCAACTTCCAACGCGGACATTAAATTCATGAATGAAGCCATCATGAGTTATGGTGGAAGCATCCGCGAACTTGATAGATACCTGAGAAGCTTTCATATCATTGATCTCCAACTTCTCTGCAATAACCTTAGACATGAGGTTCAAGCTAGATATGGAACCACAGAGGGACTTGCTGAAGACCTCTCCATCAATTGAACATGGGAAAACAAACTTCCCTGGATCTTCCAGCTTCGACACCTTAGTGAGATTCGTGGTGAGAGTATCCCTTTGTTCTCCTTGAAGTAATCGTACGTCTTAGCATCAAGTTGCGTCTTAGAGATACGCGGATAAGGACTCTTGGGCTTGTAGGGAACCACATCAGCTCTAGCAACAACTTGCGTACCAGCATCATTCGAAAACAGATCAAGCACACTCGGATCCGTCATCGGGATCGATCGATCTGTAAGGGGATCGATCGGTCCTATCTCTCTGGTCAGTAAATCATCAGCGTCGAGGAGATCGATCGGTCTAGGAGTTATATCGATCGGTCCTTCGTCGTTTTCGCTCAGGACTCGTGGGTTTGCTGCAGTATGAAGCTTCGCCTTAGCTCCAGCATGAACCGTAATAGCGGACAAGTCAGAGAAGACTCTAGGATCTCCGTTGTTGGCCTAGGCCTTTGAATGTGCAGCATGTGATGGGATCGATCGATCTACAGGATGGATCGATCGGTCTGCGGTACAGATCGGGACTGATTGCTGGATGCGTTGGATCGATCGATCGTTGTGCTGGATCGATCGGTCCTGAGCTTCTGCGAAGGCTTGTACATCGTCAATCTCACTTTGAATCGTGATTGCATTGCAGAACTCTTTAGGATTAGAGCAAGACGCAATCTAAGACATCCTCATGACAAAAGAATCAACACGAGAAGCCAAACTCTCAATTGTTTCATTGAGCTCGATGTACATGCTCTCCATCTTCTCCTTCATGTCTTGCGCCTCCACAAAACATCTCGGGCCTCCACAAAACGTCTTGGCGTCGTCAGACCTGCCCGGCGTCGCAAACTCTTTCTTTCTTCTTTTTTTCGACCTTTCACCTGCAAAAAGAGAAAAACCCTAATTAGTAAACATAATAAAAAATCTTAGACTAAACCCTAATCTTAAACTCGTAGGCAAGCGTTATTGGTCCCCGGCAACGGCGCCAATTTGAACGTAGGTCAAATAATAAACCTAAATATGCAAACTACCGGATCAAATACGGTAATCAATTGTAGCACTTTAGGGTCGAATCCACAGGGACCGATAAGTTACACTACGAATTCATGGGATTAAAGTTAAGCTAAGACAAAATAAAATAAGATTTTGTTTCTAACAGCCTAACAAGAAATTAAACAAAGCAAATAAATAATAAAAGAATATTAGGCATAGGGAAACCATCCGGGATGTGACAAAACAATTAAATCAATTAACAAGGAATATTAAGATATGTTCCAGAACTCAATTCACAATTATAATGGTAAGTCACTCTCGCACAAATACCTACTTAGCAATACTAAATTAAAGAACCGCTCTCGCGAGAACCCTAAGTAAAGCTAGCATTAAAAACAAGATTGATTTGTTCACAAGATGCCATGGCAAGAACTTTCGTTGCCAAGCCATGGAATCTTGCTCGCCTAATGTTGATTCCAGAAACTAAACACCATTTTCGCACCTAGTTTAATCACCTAAGATCTTAGAACAAGTTAGCTACTCAAGCCCTAAGCATTAAGAACAACATTAGAAGAAGAACTATAAAATAAATTCCCAAACTAACAACCTAATAATCGGTCACATCCCTTCAGAATAACCCTAGCCTAATAAGGAAACTACTTAAGCATAGAGACAAGAACAAAGATGAACACAAAAGGAAACATCTTTATTAAAGAATCTAAACTTAAAAAGAAAGCTATAAAATAAAAGAAAACAAAACTAGGGGAGAGCTACAGCTCTCAAAAGAGAGAGCCACTGCTCTAAAAAGATGTGTTTTGATACAAGGTCGAGCCCTCCTTATATAGGAAAAGGGGAGAGCAACAAAAGGAAAGAAAATAAATGGAAAACTTGGAGAGGAGGCAAAAAGAGGCGGTGGACCGGTCGATCCATGGGCCGGATCGATCGGTCCTCATCTTCATGGGCTTTGGGCCGAAATCCTCACAGGATCGATCGATCCTAACATTGTACTGGTCGATCCTGACTCCCGTCCACGTCAGCTTCGTCAGCATGTTGACCTGTCTTCAGTAAATCAGCCATAACTCTTGATTGCACCGTTGGATTTCCATGAAACCACTTGGAGATGAAAGCTAACTCCCTTGGATATCTTGTGTCAGAATCTTAGAAAGATCCAACGGTGGGACGCTCTTCGTCTGAGGCCATACTTCTGACGGGTCTTCTGGACTCTGCATCTTTCAATGTATATTTGCATCCAAATTGATCCAAAACTCTTCCTTTTGCAATAAACGCTCTTTAGACCTGTAATACACTAAGTGAAGCATATAGTCCTATATTCTATCTAATATAAGTTAGTTGACTCAATATACAAACCTAAATCCTATATAGAAAACGGTAATTTTGGGACTCATCACCTACAAGGGACGATTGATTTGGGTCTTTATTATACTAACCTTAACAAAGAAGGTTTAGTTGGTTTTGCTGATGCAGGTTATCTATCAGATCCACATAATGGTAAGTCACAAACAGGTTATGTGTTTACACACGGTGGAACCGCGATTTCGTGGCGATCAATGAAGCAAACGATTGCTGCCACTTCATCTAATCACGCGGAGATATTGGCAATACATGAGGCCAGCCGTGAATGTGTGTGGTTGAGGTCAATGACTCAACACATAAGATCAAATTGTGGAATGGAAGAGGATAAAGGACCAACGGTCATGTACGAGGACAATGCGGCCTGCATAGCACAACTTAAGGAATGTTACATCAAGGGAGATCGGACAAAGCACATTCTACCTAAGTTCTTCTTCACGCATGACCTACAAAAGGATGGTGAAGTTCAAGTGGTGCAAGTTCGTTCAAGTGACAATTCAGCCGATCTCTTCACTAAGGCACTACTAACATCAACACTAAGGAAGCTCACGCATCAAATTGGAATGCGGAGACTTAGAGATTTTCAGAGATGACCAAAATAGGGGGAGTAATGCGTGTTGTACTCTTTTTCCTTCACTATGGTTTTGTCCCAAATGGGTTTTCCTAGTAAGGTTTTAATGAGGCAGCAACCCCCAAGCGCATTACAGAGATCCTTTTGGCATCTACACGGTTATATCATCCAAGGGGGAGTGTTGTAGACCGCATGGTCGGATGGACTCGATAACCGTGGCCCATACACATGTTCTAGAAGGTCCGGCCCAGCGGTCCGGCCCATCGTGAGAAGACAAGAGGAGGTCTAAGTGTTAATGGTTCATGGGCCTTGTATTTCTAGCCCAATTAGAATTGTAACCTCCTCATGTGTATATATATATATATATATATATGTTGTAACCTCCCTTCATAATCAATAAGAATTCACAAGTTCTATAACAATTCTATATTAAAATGATCCATTTTAATTATCAATAACTCTATCAATACACTAATAAAATCCATCATAGTTATCAACAACATATAAAAAAGAAAGATTAACTTAAATGGTGTAGAAAAGTTGGTTTATTGCTAGCGTGGGATACATTTTCTAAAAATAACTCATATGTTTTTCGTCCTTGTAAAATTACTATTAACACCCTTGATTATTTTTTTTTGTTTTAACTATAAAATGATTTAAAAGAAATTAGCATAATCCACGTCATTAATTGTAATCCCACGCCGACAAAAACTTTAATTCTCAAAACAGAGGGAAGGGAAACTCAAGAGTCCATTTTTCGCAACTGTTCACGGCGAGGAAACAAAAAATTCTCTCTTCTCTTTCCGGCGATTTCAAACAGTAAACCCTAAGTCGGCCAAAGTATAGTCTTTTCCGACCGTTTCTCCGTCATATTCGTCTCAATATCAAGGAACTCAAGTGGGTTTCTTCATCTTCCACTGATTCCAAAAAAATCTCTGCTTTCATCACTCTCGGTAAGTTTGAATATCTCTATTTGGTTGAGTTTAAACCGTTATCTGAGGTATATGTAGCTTTTTATCGGTGATTATTACGGCTGATTTCTGCCGTCGTTGTGGCTGATTTGATAGATCTACTGGATTTGGTGTCTAGTTTATTACGACTGAGTTACGGGTTGTGTTAGGGCTAATTTATGGTTTATATTGGTATATATGGCTTTTTATCGGTGATTATTACGGCTGATTTCTGTCGTCATTGTGGCTGATTTGATAGATCTACTGGATCTGGTGTCTGGTTTATTACTACTGAGTTATTTTATATGTCCTGATTTTATAGATGCATCTGTGGCTGAATTTGTTTATGTCTCGGCTGAGTTAATATTTACTATACGTTGAGTTATACTATCCCAATGCATTTGTGACTGAGTTATTATTCATGTTTTTGCTGAGTCATGATTTATACTCTGTTCGATGTAACTATACTCTGTTTGATGTAATCTTCTTATCAGATGGATGAACAAAGGAATTACCCTCCAAGACTGTATGCGGAAGGGCAGTCTAATCTGGATAATAAAGATCTTAACCACAGTGTTCTACTCAGCCATATAGATGCATTCAGACATTCCGTAGGTAAAACTGTGTGGAATGAAATTAAGAAGCACCCAACTGGAATAGCAGCCAAAATCTTTGAGAGAAACATTATATGGTCTGCTAAAACTGTCCACTACCTTCTATGCAGACAGTTAAGAGTAAGGAAGAATGAGGTTTGGTTTCTCATTGGTGGTAAACCTATAAGATTTGGGTTGAATGAGTTTGAGCATGTCACGGGTTTGACCACATATCCGTTGCCTACAGAGCCATTTGACCCTGAAGTTGATTACAAAGCGTTTTTAAGAGAATTGGTGCCTGCTTCTGTAGAAGGAGGTCTCACTGTTGCTCCCACTTTATATGAGCTTCTGGATGGATTAGGTAAATGCCGAGAATGGGCACCACAAGACATTAGACGTAAATGGATGGGGCGGTTGTTCCTAATATCAATTGGTATCCATGGACTTCATCACAACTCTAGAATACCGTTGGAATCTGCTTAAAGGGTTTTTGATGATGAAGCCATGAATAATTATCCATGGGGTCGGGTAGCATTTCAGTCTCTTGTTGGGTCTATCAAGACCATTAGTCCTACCGGAAGGACGTACACCGTCAACGGTCTGGTGTACGTGTTACAAGCATGGGCTTATGAATCTATCACATGCTTTGGAGAACTTTTTGGTAACCCATCCGACGGGGATATGTGTCCTCTGTTGCGATGGAAGGGAAACCGCACACGAAAAGATTTGTGGACGGTCATTGATGAAGAAATCAAAACAAATACATCGGTAAGGTTTTGACTGAGTTATAAATTATTATGAGTAATTGACGGTTGAGTTACTGTTAATTGATAGCAGAGTTATAATTATCTGTGACTGAGTTATGGACCACAAATGACTGAGTTGTGTTTTATTGATGGCTGAGTTATGGTTTACGATGATTATTGTTTATTATATCTGATGTTGTAGGTGCGTGTGGTGCATATGGTTATTAGAAATGATGGAGTGCTATATCCTCCTGAGTGGCCTGATCAACCAGAAGACCAAGAACTTGATAATTTGATCCAAGACTTGTCGAATGGGAGGTTTGTCCCAGGCTTCTGGGATCAGAAGATGCCTGAAAAGATGATTGAGAATAAGAATAAGAAGAAGAAAAAACTAGCTGGTTTGGATGATTCTCATCATATCGCAAAGAAGCATAAAGGCTTGAAGGAGAAGGATGTTGATTTTGATGAATCTGTCGGGAATAAGAATGATGAAGCAAAGGTAATTGATATGGTATATTGTGTTGATTTAATGTTTGGTTAGTTTGGTTAGCTTGGTTATGCGTTTTTTGTGTATATGTGTTGCAGGATTTTAATGAGGAGGCAGATAATGTGTCCCTTAGAAAACTCATTATGGATATGGAGGCTAATTTCAGCTCAAGAATTGATAATCTTGCTACAAGCATGAACGGCATGTCTTCACAGCTAGAGAAGGTGGAGAGTGAATTGACAGAGTTGAACAAGTGGAAAGATTCAAACCTTTTCCGGCTCAAGGATCTGTTGGCTGTTAATTCATCCATACCCGGCGACCCATCCAATGTGGTTAAAAAATCATCTGTACCCGTCGACGCATCCACTCAGGGAAAAGGTCCCGTCGACCCATCCCCGCCTACCTTTCCACCGCCACCTATGAAATCTGCAAGTAGTCATCCTCCTCTGGTAAGCTAACAGTGCCATACCTACGACTGATTTATGATTATATCGGCTGAATTAAAAAGCCATTATGACTGAGTTATCTTATTTTATTTGTAATGTTATACAGGGGAAGAAGGATGACAAAATTCTTGAGAATGTTCAGAAGAACCTGACTACGAATATGGAAGTGGCTGATACTGATAATCTCATTGAGGTGGTTGTTGCGAAAGATGATGGTAAGAAGCATGTTGGTTTTCAGCGGTCTCCTGTAGTTTTGAGGAATAAGAGGACAAATCCAGTAAAGGCCAAAGAGTCCAAAAAAGCAAAAGCACAGGAAAAAAAAAGCAAAAGCAGATGCCAATAAAGCTTTAAAGATAAACAAGCATTGGAGGGGAAACCAGAAAAAAGGGTAGGGGAAGACCTAGAAAGACTGATAATGTGAACAAATTCATTGTCAATCCAGAGCGGAATGAAGAAGAGTTTACATCAGCTGATGATGCGCTGAATAGTTTAGCTGCTGAAGCAGTTTCTGAAAAATTTTGGAAGAAGCTGATGATACGCTGAATAGTTTAGCTGTTGAACCAGTTTCTGAAGCAGTTTCTAAAAAAGCTGATGATGCGCTGAATAATTTAGCTGGTGAATCAGTTTCTACAAAAGATGATGATGATGTAAAAGCTGGTGATGATGCGCATGAGATAATTGATGGAAAACCTGATGGTGATGATGAGCAGAAGAAACTTGATGGAAAAGCTGATGGTGATGATGCGGAGAAGAAACTTGATGGAAAAGACAATAATGATGAAGAAGTACAAGAGTCCACACTTGATGTTCTAGCGGACGACATGAGCATGATACCTGAGTCTGATGTTGATGCGGATGGACAAATAAGGCTTAAATTGATAAGTGATTTCAGGAATAAGAGTGTTAAGTTAAAAGAAAATGGGACTGATATGATTAAACTAAAAGATAAGCCACCAGGTGTTTTTCCTCATATTGGAGATGACGGATTGAAGTGCATGAGGAAGAACTGTGAACCTTTACCTGGAATATATGATCCTATGTCACCTGTTGATCCGGTTAGATTTAAGAAACTGAAGGAACTCGTATCAGGAATGAAGTATGATCTAGTTCATTAATTTGTTAATTACAGCTTCTTGTTAACAATGTTTTAACATATTGACTTGTGTTTGTCTGTCAGGATCAAATTGGGAAAGAAGAATGACGACCCTCGTGAGTTCTATAGGGTCATGATTACCCCGAGAAATATTTGGCCACACACGGAGTATGGATGGCTGGACGAAACTGTAAGTTTTACGGCTGAGTTATTCTATGACTTATTATTCATTATGGCTGAGTTATTCTATGACCTATTATTCATTATGGCTGTGTTATTCTATGACTTATTAGTCATTATGGCTGTGTTATTCTATGACTTTTTAGTCAATTATGGCTGAGTTATTCTATGACTTATTATTCATTTTGGCTGAGTTATGCGTTTTTTCTTTCAGCATATCAATGCCTACATGAGAGTTCTCAGACGTAGGTTGATTACAAAACCATGCCCATATCATAGCGAAGGCATTGCGTTTGTAGATCCGTACTTCTCCACTCATATGATCAGAGATTATCCTCAGTTCAAAATGAGACCTAAGAACTTCAAGTTTAATGGGTTAAACTATGAATCTGTAGTCAGAGGTTTGTATCCCGACGATCAAAAGACTGGTAAGATATGGGCGCTAGATGTTTGGCATGTGTATTTTGTTGTACACACCAGAGGTGATCATTGGTTGGCGCTGGACGTGGACATGATGCGTGGGCACATTGATTGCTACGATAGCATTGTGGGAACAGTGACTGAGGAGAAGAGATTACGAATTCTTGAAACGGTTAAGCCGTTTAGGATAATGATTCCGTACATGCTGAACGATATAATCCATCCCTCCCAACGATCCCCTAGCTAGAAGCAGTTTACTTTCAGATGGAAGAGTCCAAATAATGTGCCTCAAAACGATATACTAGCGGAGGAACCTGAATTTTATAAGGGATTTATTAACTAAGCAGGCAGAGAATATGAAATTTTATGTTTTAATTCTAGGAATGTTTATTTTGTGGACATTTGATATAACTCAGCCATTACGCATTATTAGTAATTCAATTAACTATATAACTCAGCCGTTACGTTAACATAAATCAGGCATGAAGCATTATTAATAAATCAATGAACAATATAACTCAGCCAAAATGAATCTATAATTAGTAGTACATTATTAGTAAACAATATGACTCAGCTGCCATGAGATAAATAAATCAGCCATGAAGCATTATTGATACATCAACAACGGAAATTTGCCGCCAAAACATTAGTTAACAAACTTTGGCGCGAAACAATAAGTTAACAAACGTAACCTTTCGCATTCCTCTCAGTTTTTTTTCTCTATTTATATTAGATAACCCTAAGTTTCATCACATGCATATTCGATCTTATTCACCCTTTCTGTTACATCTTCTTATCGACATGGAAGTTGTTCCTCAAATCAGAAGTCAGTTTCACGGAGATGTTAAAGCGATCATATACGCTGCTGATCGTGAGAATCTCTCCGTTCTAAACCCTGGTGGTGGTTTTGGTTTCAATCTTGACAAAACCTCTGACACGTTTAAAGAGTTCGATTTCAAACTATATTGCGCATTCACAGATATCCTGAGAGACAATTGGGTGCATGCGTGGCCGACTTCTCGCTGCATTCCATTCCATTATAGGAAATAATGGTTTTTAACACTCGCGGTAAGCAAGCACCGATATTTCCCTTGATATTAAGCAGACTAAAATCTTATTTTGACTCTTATGAATAATATATATATATCTTTGATGAGTAGCGTCAATACACGTGGGATCCGAGACATACTTTTACGGTGTGGAAGCAGTTTAATTTGGTGGTTCGAGAAGTATACGGAGTAGAGATTCGTTCGCTCATTTGGAAGAAACGAAATTATGCCGATAAGCCCGACTGGATGAATGAGCAAGTGTGGAAAGATTTCTATTACATTTTTATGAATTTAGGTTATTAAAAAAAAATGAAATTTTATTGTATTTTATTTTCAATTAAATGAATGATATGTCTATATTTTACCCATTTTAAGCATTCATTTGTCATAGTTTTAGTATACCTTCATCGCATATTCGTTGTGTTCTCAGTCCATTTTGCACATTTTGCACACTTAGTAGTATTTGCATTAGTATTGCAAGCATACATGCATTTGGAGTTGTTATTAGGTGTTTTGGAGCTCTCAAAGGCTAAGGAAGGATCTGATGCTATCTCTGGATCTAAACAAGAGGATTGGAAGCATCAAAAAGTGAAGAAGAAGCACTCGACCACCCCACTCGACCGTTGACACCGAGCACTCTATTGGATTCATGACAAGAAATTCAAAGATCGACTTAAATGAAGATCTTATGTTGGGATTTAGCTTCAGAGATCTGCAGAAACGTTGTGGGCAATCGAGTGAGCTTTCTAATGCCAGTAAAATCAGGCCAATCCGATACGCGGTTCAAGAGTTATGGCTAGTTTAGTGAAGCTATATACATCCTGAGCTCGACCCAGCCAGCTCGACCCCGTAGCTCACCAGCTCGATCGAGCTGTCTTCCGTTGGAATTAAGCTTGCGATCTCTTCATCAAACTTGTGGGCAATCGAGTTAGCTTTCCAATGCCTTTGGTTTCAAGTCAATCCGATATGCGGTTCGTGAGTTGTAGCTGTTTTAGTAAAGGTATATATTCGGAGCTCGACCTCACCAGCTCGATCGAGCTGTCTTCCGTTCGGATTCAGCTTCAGAGATCTTCACTGAAGTTGTTGGAAATTGAGTTAGCTTTCCAATGCCATTGGTTTCAAGTCAATCAGATATGTGGTTCGAAAGTTATAACTGTTTTAGTGAAAGTACATACATCTAGAGCTCGTGCTGCATGATCGAATTTGGGACTCGGGTTAGGACAGAGTCATGACCTTAAAACAGAGCTCGACCGAGCTGAAGCAGTGGAGGTCAAGCTGGGAGTCGAGTGCGAGATCGAGCTACGATAAATTTGGAGTCTTGAAGAGGAGCTCGATCGAGCTCATACAGAGGCGTCTGGGCTGGGACAGAGTGATCAACTTGTGCAGAATTCAAGCAAACATGTGCAGACCATAGTAACCAGCTCGATCGAGCTGTCTGAAGCAGAGAAGAGCTCGACCAAACAACTCGAGCTGGGCTTAAACTGACTTAAAATCGTTGACTTTGACTAGGGCTTTCACAAGTTTAGTATAAATATGTCTCATTTGTTTAGACTTGATCATCTTCCTTTTTAGCTATTTTTAGAACTTCTCTCAAGAACAAAAACGTGTCTAAGGCTTTGTAATTCGAATTCTCTTTTAATCTTTTAAGTTTTTATAGTTTTGTATCTCTCTTTTATGCTTTAGTTGTTATAATCTTGTTAATCTCTCTTTAATCTCTTTTCATAATGTTGCTATTTGAATTTTCTGGGTTTGTGTTCTTGAGCTTCATGATTTCTGAGTAGTGTTCTTAGAGTTCTTGAGGTTGGGTGAGATCCATGGAGTTTTCTTAGTCTTTTCTAGGGTTTTGATGTTTAGATCTTCTAGATCCCTTCTGGATTAGTGTTCTTCATGCTAGCTTCTTTCTGATCAACTCAAGCTTGATCCGAGGTATTTCCACCCGAGAGGGCTTGGTGAAATGCCTGATCTAGCTAATACCGGAGATTTGCATATCTAGCCTAAGAGATTAGTTGTCTGGATTGCTTTTTGGCATTGATAGATTGGTTCCTAAAGCCTGCCTTGTTATGTTTCTCTAAAGAGATTTAGGTTTGGAGGTGACTTGGTTTGAGGGTCTCTGTCACGAGAGTGGATTGACCTGTAGTTGAATCTTTCGTCTAGGGATAGCTTTGTTTAAAGTTTTATCGAATTTCTAAGTTAGACTAGGCGACTTCATGGATCATTGATACCCAACCTCACGAGCTCTCTTTTATCATCTGTTGCATCAGTTTATGTTTTGCTTGATTGGGAACCACCTTCCACTTTCCTGCATTGTCGGTCTCGGCAGCCAATTTCCAGCCCTCGCAGTAGGAAGCGACGGAAGAGCTAGATTCGACGGAGCTCGGGAGCTTAATGAAGGAAGGGACACGTGAAGAGATTGTTGGATTAAAGACGGCGAATAAAGCGAGGCTGAAGAAGGAAATTAAGCTGCTACGAGAAAAAGCCATTGGAGAGACTTTTTACTCAATTATTGTAGGGAATGGAACATGCAGAAGTCCCTTTTTCCATGTTTATAACTTTTAGTTGCACCAATCAGTCAATGAAGTGGCAAACCGAACCATTTTATATTTCCCTAAAAAAAGGCATTTACAATGTAATTTTTACATTTTTAACCACTAAAAAGGCCAAAAGAAACAGCCTGACCAAATAATAAAATAATTTATCTTGTCGAAAGTCACCGAACCCTTTAATCCCCAAATGCACTTGAACTTCCTTTGCAACAAACAGGCTTTGAAGGTTTAGTCTTGTGATGTAGCAGAGTATTCAAAAAGCAAACGTTTTGAAGGTGCGGATTGCAGGAGGACACGCAAGCGGCTCGTGAGTTGATAGATCAGTGTCCATTGCATCGCCATTTCAGAATCTTTCATCTGTCTTACCACAGAGGCCTGTAGATAAAAGACAGTAAGAACCGGGTGATGTTTATTTACTTGCCATACGGAGAAGAAAGAAGATTAAATGTATATGCCTGACCTGAAGACGTTTTCCGAGCTGCACTTCAACTTCGGTTCCAAATGAGATGTTGCTTGCCAGAGACTTGAGAGGATCAATAGTTGGATCAACAGAGAGTAAACTTGGGATCTGTGGGGCGTACACCAACCTCCATCTTGCTTGACCAAACTCTCCTTTCCCTTCTATCCTTGGCATTATGGTTTCAAGTGTTGCGGTTGCAAGTTTTTTGAAAGCAAGTTGTCCATCTCCTTCTAATATGGATTCTGCTAATTGGCTCTCGAAAACCTTTGCAGCCTGGATTGTAAACAGAGAATTTCATCAACACGAAAACCGTAACAACATTATTAAATTTAAACTAGCGTTTTGACGTCAAAGTACCTCGGAAGGTGAGAGAGCATCCTGTTCCACAGAACGAGTTGAAGTCACCACAAGTTTTTCCTGCCAATTGCTGGCACGACTTTGGACCCTAAATTGCCATTCTGAACCAACTAAAGCTAAATCTAGCAGAGGATCTAGTCCATGTTCAGGCTCAAATTTTGCAATGTTGAGATGCTCCCTCTTCAGACGTACCTGTGTTTAGAAAACAAAATAGAGGGTAGTTGAGGACAGCCTGTGTGAAGTTTTGCAAGAAGGAATAAATGAGTTCACGACAGAAAATCAAACAGAGATTTAGACAAAACCTGAGTAGCCACAAGATTGACATCTCCATTCTCGAACATCAGGATACCCTTTGGTTTGATATATTTGGGATGAGCCATGCCATCAAGCTCAAGCTCACCACTAACAGCAAAATTAAGAATTAAAGGATACACTATCCTCAACTCTGGTCCTAAAACAAGTTTCATATCACTCAGACGGATATCCATATTTGGTTTCATTTTCACTTCGTCAATCTCCTTTTCAACAGCATTTGATTCACCTGTGGTGGGTCAAACAAGCAGAGATCATTACAAAGTTTTACCTACAAAGTCCAACTACAACTAAAAAAGAAAACGCTCATCGAATTTTTGCTAGTAAAGACAACAGTTACCAGAAGACTGGGAGAATTTCATCCTTGAAGAAGCCGGTTCTGTACCAAAAAATCGAGCAAAATATCGTGAAGCAACTGCTTGATTAATAGCACCACCTGGAATCCTATATTGATTGGCAGCCAATCTATTGAGTGGGGCAGCTCCCCCACCCTTATCATGAGGCAAATAAGCTTCTCCCTGGCTTAATTTAATACTTCCTGATATAGTTGGCTGCAACATTGATCCAGTAATTTGCAGCTGCGTATCAACCTGACCACTATTTTGGAAACACAATCACTTTCATAAGGAATTAGAAAATGTTATAAGCTCAGTAACATGAGTCCAGAAGAAAAGAATTTAAGAAATCTAAACAGATCCAGGATAAAGTAGATACATCAACAGTT